CTGAAACACGGATTTCCAGGTGGTCTGGTGAGCGCCCGCGAAGACTAGAAATAAGACGGCGGAATTTCTTACAATAATGGGGTTATTATTCCCTGCCACCAGCTACACGGCTAAAATAATCCTACGGTTAATTCTTACATAGAATTACAATTCGCTTTTAAGGGGACTCGCTAGACGAGGTATAACATTTTTTTGGTTTTTTGTATGAAAAAATGATATTAATATAGATGTATCATACATCAAACTGCAGTTTTTTTGATATTCTAGACCGCAGAGACCAGTTCAATTAATTAAAAAAATATGGCTGAGAAATATCGTAAAAAAAGCACCATTGTATGTTTTCTTTTCAAGTTTTTTGAGTCATAACCATCATAGAATCGCTTGAAAATTCTCACATTGACAAACATCACTTTTTACAGGCCGCAGAGTCATTAAATGTTTGTTAGTGATACAATTTATTTAAATAATGTATTTATTAAAATCAAAATATACCACAAATTAATGCAAAATACGTCGAATAATTTTAACAGGAATATCAGAGGAAAATTAATGATATATTGCTTACCAGAGTTTTTAACAAAAACTAACAATTATTGAAAAAAATGGGTTTTACCTGGAAAGTCGGTTCCGTAAATTTTAGTGGCGCTCCTATCGGCAAAGTCCTGAACTAACGGTTCAAATTCTGGCGAATTGATTCCCATTTTTTTCATGCTTCAAGTTAGAGAAATACGCTTACCGTCTTCAGTGCCACAATGGGCACGTCACATCTACAGAATAAGTTACTGTATTGACATGGAATAGATACAAAAGGAAAGTATAAACAATAATAAGTATGCATGTTGCACAACGTTTTCGTCTGATCAGTGATCTGTATATTTGGCCAGTGAAGTGATAGTGTGATTATAAAAGACATCAGCAGAACATGCCGTTAGTACAATCAATTAGGATGGTAATGGAAAATAGCCTGCATATTACAGTGGCTGAATGCCCTCTGCAGTATTAGAATCTTCACTGTCATAATCACTAAGACTATAATCTGACTCTTCGTTAATGTCGATTATAAACGGCGCAATATCTCAACAGTATTTTTCGACATTGTGGGCGTGTGTTAACGCTTCTTTCCACATTTCCACGGCATTTTTTTGACCATAACCATCACGCCCAATGTGATTGGAATAATAATTTTTAGTAATTCCCCAAATATTTTCTATAGGGTTAAACATACAATCATATGGCGGCAATCGCAATACACTATGGCCATACTGTTAGGCCAATTCGTCGGCAACATACGTTTTTGGAGGTTTGTTTCTGAAAAACATGACATTTTAAATGAAACGATAGAGAATAGTATATGCATTACTGTGCAACCAAATGAAGAAGTTCCGTTTTTAACAGCTGTGGATTTGAACTTATGTCATGTTGTCTAAGCCATTCACGAATTTTTGCATTTTTCCATGAACCGTTGGGACATTTGTTTGCAAAAGTACTGTGGTAGCTTGCATTGTCCATAATAATCAGTGATGGTTGGTTCCTCAAGATTCATGAGCAATTGTTTTTCAAACCACTTGAGAAAATTCTGTTGATTCATTTCGCCATGATAGTCTGGATTTTTGGTATTAGAAGAAAATACCGAACTATTTTCAAATATCCATGTTTCATCAAGATATACACATTGCAAAGTATTTGGGTTCTGCTGATTGTGCATGTATTCACGGAAGAATTTAGTTCTTGCATGAACATGTTGTAATTCCATAAGACGCTTCCGCACATTTAGCAAAGTTGAAAATATGAGTAACGGGACGATAATAATTTTTCAAAACCGTTTTATTACCTTTTTTATATACAGGACAGATCTGAGAAATCTTCCATTGACTGGGAAATATATTAGTTTTTAGGATTAAGTTATATATGAGGCATAGCGGCTGACGAAAGCTATACATGCAATCCCTGATAATAAAGGGAGGTATCTGATCAGGTCCACATAATGTAATATGCTATTAGGAAAGTAACCATAAAAATCAGTAGTCATTAATCATTGTACATTTGTTATTAATAAAACAAGGTGTTATTCTTGATTAATAAACAATTAAAAAGCAAACATTTAATAATACAATAATGCATTATAAATAAAAACAAAACCAACAAAAAAAAACCTTTAAGCATAACCGTCTAAACACTTCAGAAGGTTGTTAAAATTCCTGCCTTGTGTATGTAAAAAAGCTTGTATTCTTCTGCGGCAATTGTCATTTATTCTAGCCAATATATTTTCATTTACTAAGTTTGTTTTTTTCTTGGGTACCTTAAACCAATGTTTCCAAATTTTAACCATTTTTTTTTAAGTTGCTCATCAGTTCACAAAATATTGAAGGTAAATAAATCATCATCTCCGTGAAATTAGGGTTCTACCCTATTGTAATGATACGGATGTGCTTGGATACGCGCCCAACTCTGCAAATGTCCCGATCATTTCTTGTCGGATCGTCAGCCACAAGATCTAAGATGTCCTCCTTTAACTGTGGACAACGTGTGGCCCTATCATGGAACTGAATGCCAATAGGAACAAAGCTGTCTAATCACATTTACTGTGTAATGCTTTTACCCAGTAACACTCAGTATAAATTCGTGCGGCAGCAATGGCATTCCCTTCGAATTCGTCAAAAATCAATACGTCAAACCACGGAGTTAATACGACCTTTTATTCTACCTCCATGCGTCAAACATTTTTAACTGCTTACCGGTTTACGTTGATCTGTACCTTTTCTTGTAGGTATATATTAAGCAAACATTTCTGTCAAGTGGAGTTTTATCAAATTATTGCAAAAACAACACAACCATATCTTTGTATATTCCAACTGAAATGGTAATTAAACATGGTCATAGCCGACCGAAATATTAACTAACCGTTTTATTACCAGTTTTTGTGATAATGAATGTCTTATTTATTTGTTAGACGTAGCAAAAGAATCAACTTAAAAATCATTAGAACTCCACCAAAATGTGAGAAGGAATTTTTTTACTTTTTTTTCCAATACTCACCGGTTGATTGTTACGAGCGTAGCGGAGAGTTAATCCGCCATTTTCTAAACACCCGATATAATTGTAGGTTTAATGTATACTTTATCAAGTAATGCATTCACATATTTTTCTTGATTATTTAATTTTGGTAATTTGCGTTTTAAGTAATGAATATAGGATGAAGTTATACCAGAATATTCTGTACCCAGTTTCATATTTAACTTTTTCAAGTATTCATAATGAAGTAGAGTTAAAGTATTAGTTTCTTGCAGATGCATCGGGAAAACTACTAAAATGTTATTGCCCATAAAGATAAATCGCTCATACATCTAGATTCTCACTTTACAAAAAAGTAAATTTATTTGATCAACTATGAATTTAAGTTTGATTTGGATATTAATAGTGTGATAAGAAAATTCTTCAGGATTGATAACCTGACTTAGAATATTAGTGGCAGTTTCCACGTAATAATACTTAACACTATTATCGTGTAGCATGTGTGTTATCTTCAAAATTTTGAAAATACGTTAACGGCTTTTCAAATTTATTCCAAGTGTCAAGTTTGCCTTCTCCGGCTAAAAAAATATTGTCCCTTATTTATTTCTTTGTGTTTGTCCTCTGACACCTTCCGATTTTACGTCCAGAGTTTTAAGTCTGGTGTATGTATCCATTTTTATTAGACACGTAATCTCCGAAAGTGCTGGACCGATTGTCGTCAAATTTTGTATCTATATTAAAAATATGATGGAGATGGTTAAATGCTAACCAAAATTTAGCTAATTATTCCCACCAACAATTTTTAGTAAAATAAGTTTTTTATTAATTAAATTATTAACAGGTCACCCCACTTTCTCAAAAAGAGAATACGCCCGTCTTTATTTTGTAAAAATTCTAATAATAATAATAATAATATTCACAACATTCTGTTCGACTGTGGCTGAATCAATCATTTTAATCCCCTGTCTCGAGGCGACAAGCTTATTCAAGTTAAAACAATTTTCTACTGACATTCTTCCCATGTATAAACGCAATTTCAAGTCCTTGTTTACACATCGGAAGAAAGCTTGTTACTACTTGTTGGGAGGCTGTTGGTTATTTGCTTTAAATATATTTTACATTGTCCGTACTGATGCAATTTGCACAATCGCATGCAGTTTGTGTCCCCACGCAGGGGCTGCGGGAGTGTTACTTATGGCACCGATTTTTACTTTATAGAGGTTATCGCAAAACACACATAGTAAAATCTAATTTTATAATTTTTCAAAGAAGCGAGGGGAGTTTTACAGAAATAAATTTCGATCAATTTTTCATCAATGCTTTTTGACATATATGTGGAAAAGGAATCGTTGGTTGATTTTGCTGCTTCTAGATACGGTAAGAACAGTGCCGTCATTTTGTTTAAATTATATAATGGAAGAGTAGTCGCGAATAGGGCATTAACTAAAATATAGATTAAATTTTTTATAACTTGATTACTATAATACTAGATAAACAATAAATAATTTAAATAATGGTGCTGAAGACGGGCTATTGAAATTATAGTTTCTAACAGACTTGAATGGAAATTTCAGTGAAACTAACTATTAAGCAAAAACGAATTTTGTTTACACATACAGTTTGGTATTACATTTATTATGAATGTCGTTAATGTCTTATGTATCTTGTTCTTCCAAAGATAAAATTTCATGTACTTATTTAATGGAATTGGTATTACTGGCAGTGTAGTCATAGTTTACGAATTTACGTAGACCCAAAGAATGCTGAAAATTTAAATATTTAAATTAATGTTAAATAAAATCAGAAATCTATTAGGAGATACATCTTTTTGGCTAACCTAAATTCTCTATATCACAAATCTTGTCGGAAAAATCATTTTTCTCTTTGTCTCAACCTTCGTGTTACTTGGAGTTCCCATTTTGCCCTTGATTTAAATTTATTATTAAAAAAATAATAATAAAAAAATAATCGTTCTTGTCGACTTTCAGGTTTCTGGTGATGCATTGAAAACCAAATACAAAGGAAGCTGGAATATTTTATTGGAGAAATTGCAAAAATCTTTAAACAAATTGATAGAAATAGCTGCTTTGCGCAGAAGAAACTACATCATTGATCAGGTAGGTTAAAAATTTAAGTAACTTATACTTAATGTATACTCCGTTGAATTTGCTGCTATATTATGTTCAGATAATAGTAGCGAATTGAATGATATAATAAGGTTAGCATACGTATTTGTTTGTTTATAAACCCACCAGTTTAATGTAAGTACACCAATAATAGTCCAAGGTGCAGTCTAAAAATCGTAAGTATTATAAAATTACGAAAACGTTAACCTTCTCACCAGCTTTAAACGTAAGATGTAAAAACATGCTTTTCTTTCGTGTGTTGCCACGAAGAAGGTTGGTACAACTTTCATTTTGAAAAATTACACTTTGTACTGCAAAATTAATGAAAACTAAATGTTTATTTTTGAGTATTATGTTGTAAATATTTTAAAGTAATGAGCTGTTTCTTTTTTACTCCTGGTTCAGAGATTTTCTGTAATTTTTGGTCTTCAGCAGAGGTATGTACTAGGTAGTAGACGTGTGAAAGAGACACCAATGATTATTTAAATTACAGAGTTATAAATTCGACATTTAAAGCAATTTGTTTCAAGCTGCCAAAGCCTTTTGACGGCATAATTTATTTTCTTCGTTGAGAATGATGATAGTTATATTAGCAGCAATTTGATATTTATTCAGTTGGCCAAGTGTCAGGAGTTTTTGGCCTGCTTAGCCTTTCAAAGTTATTTAGTTGTAATGAGAACATTACTATAATATTGAGCGTTATGGCAGCCAAACGTGTACCCATCAGCCCAGCGCCGCAAATTGCGGCCATTTGAGGGCTTCAAGAGGCGTGCTGTCGTTGTTGTAGTAGGAGATGAAGAGCAAGCTAAACGGCAATCTTTGCAAGAGGCTGAGGGCGGTAAAGACGTTCCCGATAGCACCGTACTTGATATGAAAGGTATACATATATATATATATTATATACAAATACATGTATAGATAAGAAACTAATGCTTGTTTTATCGTTGTATATGTATTTATTATATGACACCATCTTTTTTAAAGCTCATTTAAGCAATATTATGTTTTAACTTCCCGAGCGTAAGCCAAGGAAGTATTGTAATAGAGTCCATTGACTCACTTCCTACTTTTGTTTTCTCGATCTTTCATGACTCCTAGAGTTCGGTCCGGTCCGTCCGCCTGGATTTTTATTAGACAGATAATCTTCGAAACTAGTGGTCCGATTGTTGTCAAATTTTGTAGGTATACTAGGAATATCATGTAGATGGCAAGACGCTCCCCACTGCCAATGGGACGACGTCATCCTCAAAATTTACAATAGTATATATATTTTTTATTTTATAAAATAAGATACCCTTGCACTTGTAGTGTATGAATCTGTATCGAATTTTCTCCCTAAATTAAAATTGATTTTTTTAAATTCGGAAACCAGAAAACACCTAAAAATAAACTGAACAACGAGACACAAACGGACAATCGGATAAAGCCTAATAGCATAAACAACTCTGCTTATCAAAAATGTTAAACCACTGTAAATGTCTTATTAGGGAATTAATCATGCACATGCCTTTTTTTGCTTTGTACCTTTCGTTCTGCCAAAATGTCAAATTAAACTTGATGAATTTTTTAAATGACCACGCGTTATCTTTATTTTAACTTATAAAGGTTATCATAAAAAAATAAAATTTGCAAAATCAAATGATGTTCGAAAAAACTGGAGCTGTACATACTCAAGGGCGAGGGAAGTTAGGTTGAACTTACTTTGGACCAATTATTTTTTACATACATCTCGATGTCTGGTGTAAAAACCCAACACGGATTCATATATCGCATGCAAGAGTATGTTATTTTATAAAATTTAAAGAACACATATTCGGCCAATTTTTAAGATGACGTTATCATTCTGTGGAGGGACCATAAAGGGGTAATTTAATTAACAATTTATCATGTTTCCGATAACCTTAAAACGTTTGCAAGATTTCAGAGTATCTTATTTTATACAATAAAAAAAAACTTGTAAATTTCGGAGATGACATCCCATTGGCGGTGGGGATGATTAGCCAAATTTTGGTTAACGTTTTACCATCCACATGATATTCTCAGTATACATACAAAATTTGACAACAATCGGTCCAGTGGTTTCGGAGATTATCGGTAAATCGACACAGGCAACAGACAAACAAAGAGACGACCGACAGGCAGAAACAAAAGAATGAAAGAAAACTTAGCTGACGCTCAGGAAGTACAAAATTGAAGTTAATTGATTGCATTTATTTCTTTACTTCAAATTTTATTACAGAAATATGAAATTAATAGTGGTAGTCTAATGACATGAAAAATAATTTTTGGAAGTTAAATACATATATCACATCTGACAAATGCTTAGCGACGTGAAAACGATCTGGCATATCTAGTAATTTTGACAATTGAAAAATGACACTTGTTTTCCTAAATATTTTTGGGATTTCTCTGGACTAGCAACCTCTCACTCATTTGCATACTTTTTCAATAAGGGTTTTAAATCCGTCTAATCTCTCAATAGTGGCCAACCCTATCGTAAATCATACACTTTCTTGACTGGTTATTGAAGAAAGAAGATGTTTGATTTACAAAAAATGCTCTTTTTAGGACTTGCTTTATTCAACAATACCTAAAAACTGGATAGTTTAACAAAAAAATAATTTCAACTCCCAGGTGAGCAGTAATATTATCTACACTGTCAGATTTTTTAAGCCAAAATACGTTATAGCTTTGGCTGAAAGAGTAAAATAAGGTTTTCTATTTTTATTTTTTATTAAAAAAACGAAAATCTAATGCAATATAAAAACTATCTTCATGAAAATTTGCGTATTACGAACAAGTAGATATGTCGCACGAGTCTTCAAGTGCTGTCGTAAGAATGATATTGGAAGTGGCGTTTTGCTGTATTTCGGCTGATTTTAATGCCCGTAAGGAGAAGCCTTAAGTTTCGGAAGTATAAATATATAATAGCACATTATTAAACCATAAGCAATAATAATTTCATAACATATTTTCCCAGCAAAATTAATTTTTTTTATTAGAACTTTTTGGAAAAAATGAAGAAATACATTTTTTGTACGATCATGTCATTTGTATGAACCACGGTGGTATTGAATTTACTCTTAGGCTTTCCCAACAGTTGTATTGACCGTTCTAGAACGGTAAGTGATTTACTTACCGCTTTGCAGTGAAACTACAAATCAACGATTTTATAACGATTTATTAAATCTACAACACTGTAATTTCCTTTTCCAACTTCTCAACTACTTGGTTGACGTATTTTCTATTTCTATAATTCAAAAACGATTTAAAAGACTTTGCATTTTGTGGACGACATTGCATAAATTTTCGACACTTTGTAGATAGTTAATTTTTTCATTCTCTGTATTTGTGACTGAACTCAATATGTGGCTTGATATTTGGAATGTTCACAATCATAATTTCTCCACGATCTTCTATGAGTAATATTCACATTATACATATGTACAATTCTTCTCTTCTACATGCCCCCGCTACTCCTAATAGCATTCCGACTTAAAAAATTAAATGTTTGTAGTTCCTCAGTCTCTATATTTGATTATGTTACCTTAAGAATTCGTCCGAGTCAACTGTTACGAATCTCAGCATGTCTTTTTTATAAAAACACTAGCATTTTTGGTTTTGTGGCCAATATTTTTTCGTTTTAAATATACTATCAGTTATAATATAACAAGTGATATGATTATTATCGATAATATTTCGAGTGAAACCGAGCTGCAGATTCAACGAGTGCGAAGCACGAGTTGAATGTGCTGCTTCGGTTTCACGAGCCATATCTTCGATTATTAATCATATCACGAGTTATATTCAACATGAGAATATAATGAATGAACACATTTTTTGATAACAGAATTGATTTCGTCGTTTTGAGCTTGCCCCCAACGTTGGCAAGCCATAATAGACAAAAAAATTATGAAATTCTAAAATTTGTCAAATTTGACAGTTTTTAAATTTAGGTAGCAACAGACCACAATAAGGCAATAAAATTATTATCGCTGTGATAGACATGTAACTAAGGGCATGAACAAATTCTATTGGAAGAAATGGGGTCATATGATACATGAATTATATTCTCAACGTTAGAAACTTAGAAATGTCAATAAAATCATGGAGGAAAAACATGCTTTTTATCATTGAATATTCGGCCCACAGACTATCTGGAAATGTGAGTTTTTCATTCCTTTGTATGAAATCCGCAAGACTTTTTCATTAATATTCATGTTTTTCTCCCCACACCACTATTTAAATAGTTCATAGGTCTTTTCATAACGTTCTCTAGACTTTTCAGGAACTATGACGTAACAGCCAGTTTTCCACGCATTTTCGATTTCTTCCTCACAATCCATATTGCAGTTTAAATTATTAGCTTCGAAGTTCGACACTTCACAAGCATTTTCTCTAGGATAACCATGTAAAAATGCGTTGATACCATGATACATTTTGTTTGTTTGCAGTTGTCAAAGCGTTGCTAACGCCAATATGACCGACTGCCTATTCGAAATTATCCGGTTTTGCACCTTGCCTGCAGTTTTTCTTTAGTTTTTTTAGATATTATTCATCTTGATCGTGCAAAAAATGTATAAGCATCACGAACGTCGCTTTGCTTCTCCTGCAAACTTTTGTCGTCGACCTGTAAACCCCTCTTATCGTTCTTAATACTTAATACACTATAAATTCGAAGGACCAAAAGTATGTTATTATAAATTCAGACAAACATAAACAGTATATTATCAAACAAATTTAATTTGCAAAGCCGCCAACACTTAAATCGTTATTTGCTAGGGATAATGTCCACCTTGTCACCGCGGGTTTCAGCACTCGCGTACTAGTTTTTACGGATACAACCCGCACAACTCCGTCGCCACCTAGGTGAACTTCGGCGACTCGTCCTAACCTCCACCGTAGTGGGCGCAGTCCATCCTCCACTATAGTGTATTTCAGAACTCCGTTCGTCTAAGCCATACACCGTTCCAAAGATTGACAGATTCCAGGGTCTCTCAACCATCGGTCGGTTAAGAGATGATAATTCTCCAAAATCACTGCCACACAATCGAGCAAACGATTCGTTTTGTTTTATTAACTGTAAATAGTAAATAAATAGGTTACTTAAAAAGAATGCTATCTTAGTTCCTCTTGTACATGTAAATGTAGTGCTTCAACAATTTTAACGTCAGTGCTTTAACCGCTGAGTGAATCGCTATATCATATATCCATGCTGAAAGTGCACTATGGTTTTCTTGTTTCAACTCGTTTGCCCTATACTAAAAGACAAGGACACACTTAGATTCAACCAGAGTTGAGCGATACCGTGATTTTGCGAACACGGTGGTCACAGCGGCCGTTCCTTTTGAATCACGGTGATTTTGTCACGGTGATCTACCAAGTAACAGCGAGCAACGAAAGTAGCGATTTAGTACTTGGATCACGGCGCCGGCGTGAACCGCGACTTTTCACGGTTCCTCCTTGTCACCGTCACTTGGACGGTGATCGGTGATCGCAGTAACTTCAATATTCTCTCGCAGAGGAACGGTGAAACGGTGTGCCATGTGAACAGCAGAAAATTCCGATACATCAATGAATGAATAAATAATAATTGTTGGGGATCAAATCAATAACAACAAATCATATTGTATTGTATTGTGTATTTATCACGCAAACAAAACAAAAGATGAAATAACAATAAACTGCAAAAAGGCGATTACGAACGTTTGGGTTAGGAAATCTGAAAGTCAAATGTCTTTTTTTTTTTATTTAAAATGGTAATGATGTACCCCTCCATGCTCTGAAGCATATTTGGTTGCCTACTTATGCTCCGAAAATATTTGCCCTGTTACTAGAAATCGCAAATTGTAATTCCAGGCCCTCCTCCAAATATAT